GTCAATGCAGGTCTTGTCTACACGCACATTTGAACTGCTTTAGTTAAGCAGGTTTCAAACCCGCTTTGTGGCCCCTCTTATTTTGGTTTCAACGACTCAGTTTAAACTAAGTCAATTTAAACTGAAATTAGGGTTACCATATTTAAAAAATAAAAAAAGAGGACACTCCACGGGCCCTGGCCCCGCCCCTTTCCCCACCCCAGCCCCGCCCCAACTCCGCCCCTTCCCCAAAGTCCCCACCCTAACTCCCCCTCCTCCCTCCCAGCCACGTGAAAAGGGCTGCCCGAGCGCTACCGGCTTCACGGTTTCCCTGACCCCTCATGGGTTTTTGCCCCAGGAAGGAGTGATCCTGCCCCTTGGTTCTTCTCTGGGCCTCCCAAAATTAAGGCCATACTTTGACACCTTTATTCACACTGAATAGCACCTGGCTCAGCAAGCAGCCCCATTGACCTGGATGGGATTGCTCCCAGAGTAAGGTACTACTCAGCATGAGTAAGAGTGGCAGAATCTGGCCCTTAATACTCTAGCGGGAGTCTTGCCTGAATAAAGACTTGGTATGAGCCTCAAGATTTGGCAATAGATCTGTGGGTATCAATCCTAAAAAAGGGGCCAGATCTGCCCCTGAGATGTGAACCCGCTGAGTCACAGCAAGGACAGAACTGGTCTGAGATGGTTACTTTATAAACCCGCATGGACGAGGGCGGTAATGGGGCCTTCATTCATATAATCTCGACCCGGGCCCCATTTCCTCTTGAGGTTCCATTAGTGACAGTAACAAGTCAGAAATCTCTTCCTGTATTTCACAGGCGAAGGTATTAGTTAAGCAATAAAAGGCTCTGCATGCCAGATAGATGAAAGCATTAGTATCTATTGGGGATTGCATGCAAATGCTCTAAAAACTGGTCTTTCAAGGTAATTATGTTTGTTTACTGGAACTTGAGACTGTGCATGTCTCCACAAGATGCATAACAGGAACAAGGTTTACCCACCAATCTATAGATCTGTACATATTTAAGTGGGGAAAAAGCAGCAAAAAAAAAAAAAAAGGATTTTCCTCTCAGCAGATGGTCCCTATCAAGCGCGAGGTGCCGGACGAATGTTGCATTGAGTTGGTGGTGTGGAGCATTGTGAAGTATAATTGGATTTGATTGCCAAAGGAGGCTAGAAGCAGTGTATTGTTAGAAGCCTTATTATAGGATGCCTCATGATGAGGGTCTGTTCCGCATACATAGATCTTCCAAGCAGCTGTTGTTTCTTCCCCTCATGTATGACCGTGAAAAAGATTTGCAATGATTTAGGGATCAGTGTTGAGGGCCATAAACCAGTTATAAAATAGAGTACAATTGTCAACAGAACTGGGGAGCAGAAAAGTGCTTATGGGGTTAACACTCAGATACTGTGGTGATGGTGTCCAATAGGAACAGAATGATGGTCTTTTGGTTCAGACACTGGAGTGGGAGACCAGAAATCTGTGTTAAATTCCTCTCTCTGCCACAGAGCCCCTGTGTGACCTTGGGCAAGTCACTTAATCTCTGTTTCCCTCTCTGTAAAATGGGAATAATAAGCCTAGTTTTTGCCCACCCCTTGTCTATTTGGACTGTAAGCTCTTTGGCACAGGAGCTGTTTCTTAGGATGTGTTGGTAAAGTGCCTAGCATAATGGGGCCCTGATCCTCATTGGGCACTATTGTAATACAAATAACGCATACTAGTAATCTAAGGACCTGGTTAGATAGATGGAAGGAGGAGGAAAAGTGTCAAGCAGGGACTATAGTGTAAACCCTAACTGGGTTTGGAGAGGGTTTGTTTCTTTTTACCCCAAGCTTGAGTATGTCACTGTCCTTTTGATTTACTGAGGGTGACTAGAAGTTTACATCCGTCAGTTATTCCCTTCTGGAACTGCTACAGCTCCCTTCCCTCTTCGACCATCTCTCTCTCACCCTCTCACTGCAACAAGCAGACTGCGTCCAGCCATGTGGGAAAAGACTTCGTGATTCCACGCTTAAACCACTGGCTCTTGATAAAGGTCCAGCAGGGTATTCTGAGAGCCATTTTGTTTTTACAGACAGAGGAGAGCGGGCAGCAAGGATGCTGCCTGCATACTAAGAAACCTGGCCGACAGCCCACGCACGCTACATGCTAAATAAATAAATAAACACATCAATCAAGCTTGACGTCACGCTGGAAAGGGTCACTGCCATGTGGAACAAGACATCTGGCCCATGAAGTCACTGCCCTGGAAAGATGCCATGGAACAGTTCGCAGGCTCTGCAGCACAATGGGACCCGATGAAGGGGGAGAAGGGGGAGTCCGCTGGGGTTGATTGTTTGATGCTAGGTACGTTCAGGTGTGAGGAACAAGTCTCCCACACACTCTGCAAAACCTTTCCGCGCTTCTAGCTGCTGGAAAAACTTCTGAGAGTCAAATGCAAAGCGGGGGAGGGAACAGCGCTGCCCCGTCATCTCACATTGGCTCAGACTATTACACTGTATGACCTGACATTGCATGTTAGTAACAGGGTTTGGAACAACCGAGAACGGGGCCTAAACTCTCAGCTACATTTAAACTGTATGGGGGGGGGGGGAGAAACTGCTTTGTAATCCCCTTGAACACAAGCACACCACAGACACAGGGAAATTCACACACACACCCCATATACATTTACACATACAAACACAGGCATTCTGAGCATCCACACCAATGGACTATTGCAGCCATTCTAATGAATCGCACATTCCACTGGGTTTTTTAAAAATGCATTTAAAGGGAAACACTCATTTTAATAAACAAAAAGCCCTTACAGAATGGGATAACTGAGAATCAACTACAGTGACTGTCCATCCTAACCCCTTGAGAACCTTGCTATTTGCAGGCTTATTTCTGCACTAGTGTCCCACCCACCACATTTTCGCCGTCTATTGTCTTTCCTGGCTTCTGTCAGCACTGAAGTACAGTATGAGAAGCAGCAGAAGGTTATTAGCCTTGGAGGGTCTGATCTTTCTATTACAGCATCTATCCAGGATAGCAAGCTTCTGGTGCAATGGGGCATCAGCATCCATAACCCTGGAATCCTTTCCCCAGCTTTTTGCATTTGTACAATAGCCTGATTGAATTACAGTAGGACTAGGATGGAGTCTTTTGTTCTGAGAGCCTGGGATTCCTTGTAAGAATCCCCAAAGGGAATGAATTTGATAGTATAGAAAATTATTCCATGTCATTAGGATAGATCCTCAGCAGAGATACATCTGCATTGCTCCACTGACACCAGTTTACACCAGCTGCGGCTGTGAGCCTTTCTTTCAATGATGCATGCAGGAGGGAGCTGAAGATTTTTAACAGCACTGGGAAGCAAAATGAACAGGGCAGAATGTACAGAACAAAAATCATCGCCATGTAATTCAGAGCCTAAACCTGCCATGCCAATAGTATTTGGCCATTTATCACCGAGACCTGGGGGCAAAGCTTATAACTAATTGAAAAATCTCATCCATCAGCCCAGCCGTTGCCTGATTAAATGGGGCTCCCTATTGCAGATCATTCGGTTGGATTCTGTTAGTATAAATACTGCCGCTTACTTTCACTTCCTTCCAGAACCTTGGGGAGAAGGGCTGACTTCTTATTTTTTCTTTTGATTGACAGAATCATTTATCAATTGTGAACTGTCTGGATTAAAGCTCGGAATAGGGTTATAGTAATTGAATCCTTTATGTGCCTTCTCTTTGTAACCTCCCACCCCCTTCTCTCTCACACACACACAGAGCAGATGACCTTGACAGTAAAAACAAAAAATCATTAAGAAAAAAATGAACGGAAACGTTTTTGGTTTTGGGTCTGAACTCTGATTAATTACCTCCCATTGGAGTTACAAGGCTAACCATGTGAGCGGTTCTTTGTCTGACAAAACTGGATTTCCATGGCCCAAGACTTCAATCCAGCCTCGGTTAGGGTCTCTCTGCCTGGATTTAGCCTGTGGTCAATCACAGAACTTGTCTGTATCGTTGGCGGGTGGATGATCACAAGGCAACATCTAGCCACAAGGAATCAGAGCCCTGCCTTGCCTTTGATCACAATGCAGCTGACACTGATCTGCAGGGCATGCAGAGGGGACCGTGGTCCCGAGGCACGCTGGCATCCCTGCATCCCTTAGGGCTTTCTCATCCCCAGCCCCCAGCCATAGTGCTGGAACTAGCGGTGCTGGAGGTGCGGCTGCACCCCCTGGTTTGAAGTGGTTTCCGTCATATACAGGGTTTACAGCCCCCCACCAGAACAATTGTTCCGGCACCTCTGCTCCCAGCCTCCCATGCTCTAACCCAGAAGGCACCATCCTGACAATGAAGCCAACAATCTGCCTCGCGCTCGAGTCTTGCCCCTTCTCCTCCTCCATGTGCAGATACCCGGACACGCACACACCCTTCCCGGATTACACAGGCCACTTTCACCCCCTCTCCCCCTAATGCGATTAGAAAGAGCGGAGCTTTGTGGCGCCCCTCCGGCAGCCTTTCCGCGCCTCATCTCCCCTCTCCTCCGCCGGCTGCTCATTTGCAGGGGCTGTGCCAAGGCAGGATGCAGTCCGAGGGAAACACACGGTCCTAATCAGGGACTATGAATGACAGGACCCTATTTCCCCCCCCCATCCTCTTTGCAGTGTTTCTGCAGGAGCACTGGCGATTCTACGGACGATCCAATGGGTTCTTTTCCCGTCTCTCATTTCTGCCCTTCCATGATGGCTTGGCCAGGTGGGGCAGCATGTGTGTGCCTGGCATCTGCATGCACCTAGCGGCTGGAGACGGAGCCCAGCAGGGTCGAGGGCTGCTCCTCTCCCCTCCATCCATCTAGGGTGACCCGACAGCAAATGTGAAAAATCGGGACGGGGGTTATAGGAGCCTATATAAGAAAAAGACCCCAAAATCGGGACTGTCCCTATAAAATCGGGACATCTGGTCAGCCTACATCCATCACCTTCCCCCCCATACACACACACACACGGGGGGTGATCCCTTACCGGAACCGGGGCGAATCCTTGATGCACTCCTCAAATTCCACCGTCATTTTCACAGCTCAGCTCCGGGCACTTTTAATTGAGAAAGTTCATCTCCCGCAAGGAAACACAACCCCCCCAACACACTGGATCCACCTTCCAGCCGCTGTGCCCCCTGGCTTCCTTCCCCCTGCGCGGCAGGGGCCCCCGGTTTCCTCCCCTCCGCTGCAGTCCAGTGGCTGAGTGGAGCCACGAACAGGCACATGCAGGCTCCTTTCTCTGGACTCGCCTGTCACTGGCTGGGGAAGGAGGGAGCTAGGCAGCTCCAGCCCGGCTGGCCTGTCACTGCTCAGGGAGCGTCGCCAAACTGCTCCGCTGCGAGCTTTCCTCCCCCAGCCTCCGCTCAGGGTCGCCAGTTTTGGTTGGACGTATTCCTGGAGGTTTCATCACATGACATAATCTTTACTTAAAGATGAATCTTTCCTTCCTGGAGACTCCAGGACAATCCTGGAGGGCTGGCAACGCTACCTCCGCATCACTCCCCCCACCCACATCCTACAGCCCTTGGGGCGCGCGCTGAGCCCATGGGAGTGCTGCGCCCTGGCCTCGCCTCTTGATCGCATCCCTCTGCCTCCCGGTGCTCCTATGCCACTTGGCTTCTTAGAGTCGGCAAAGGCATCCAGCCAGGGACTGTCTGTCTGTACAGGACCACCAGAAAACTGCCCCAGTGCAGTGGTTCTCAACCTTTTCTCATTTGCAGACCCCCTAGAAAATTTCGAATGGAGATGCGGACCCCTTTGGAAATCGTAGGCACAGTCTGCGGACCCCCGGGAGTCCGTGGACCCCAGGTTGAAAACCATTGTTCTGTGGTAATGACAACCTTTTCGCAGACCCCTTAGGCATAGTCTGCGGACCCCCAGGAGTTCACAGACCACAGGTTGACAACAACTGTCTTGATGGATGACACCACTGGTCCAATGTCTTGGATAGCGGCCTGAACCCCATGCTTCAGAGAGAGCTGTAATCAGACCCTTCCAGAGAAATGCGGGGCCCCTGGAGCCCCACTGCTTCTCTAGACCGTTTGTGGGACCTCCTGAGCTCTGGACCCAAGTACCATTGTCCCCACTTTCCTCCCCTCTTGTCAGCCCTCAAATACAACAGCCCATAGATCCCTAGCGGGGAACCAGGACATGGCTGCCATGTCAATATCAAATAATCAGCCTCCTTGTTAATTCACGTCCGTGGAATTACTCCTGATTTACACCAGCATAACTGAGATCAGACTCTTCCCCTTTGTGTTTATGGCAGGTTAGCGTTTCCCTTCTCTTCTCAAAACGCTGCAGGGGAATGAAAATGTGAATTGAATGGCCAGGGCATGTTTAATGTATTTGTTATTATTTCTGGACAGTGAGGGGTGGGGGTTTGAGGAGAATCATAGAATATCAGTGTTGGAAGGGACCTCAGGAGGTCATCTACTCCAAAGCAGGACCAATCCCCAGACAGATTTTTACCCCAGTTCCCTAAATGGCCCCCTCAAGGATTGAGCTCACAACCCTGGGTTCAGCAGGCCAATGCTCAAACCACTGAGCTATCCCTCCCCCCTTCAAGACATGTCTTGCTGCCCACCCACACTTTCCCACACGGTTTCTGTTTCCTGGTTCAAAATAAGCAGGACCAGATTTTCAGAAAACGGTGGTTGCCTTTTGAAAAGGGGATGTGTTTGCAGACTTGCTCATGCAATGATCACCCCTCAGTTCATGTAATCATGGTAACGGGGTGGTTAAATGACTAGCTGGATGTGTAACTAGCAATCTGCTTATACAGTTGCCACTATTCATCTGCACAATAAAATATGCCAGGCCCTGTACAGTATACAAGGTCCACTCCTGCACTACCAATGCCAATGGTAGCAGGACGATGCTCAGAATTACTAACTCTAGTCTCTCATTTAAAAAATTCTAGGGGTTTGATGCTGCTCTCGGCCATCCTGGTGTAAATCCGGACTAACTCCAATGACATCAATGGAATTACACAGGCGTAAAGCCAACGTGAGAGCAGAATCAGCCCCATGAGGCTATATGAATGGATGAAATTTTTCACAGATCAAGTTAATTTAATCTGGCATGGATAAACTGGAATAAATGGGGTGTGCTTAATCTTTATCCTCCCTCAGTTAAGCAGCACAGACAGCAGAAGCATGGGGAGCCTTTTCTACACAGCAAAGCAGCGAACGGTACCGATTGCATCATTGTCACATCATGTCACATTATCCTGATTTCAAATTTTTAAAACAATTACATTTTTTTAGGTATAAATCTCCCTATACAGTATAAACAAATGAATCACAGACAATGTGGGCTTGAACCAAAAAACAAGAGCCAAAAGACCCAAAGGGCTGGGGAAATTTGGATCCAGATCAAAACTTCATGAATAGACTTTATCTCAGTAATAGGCCAAACCAAAAACTGGAGGGAATTCAGTCCCAGTTCTGTATGCAAACACTGCAGTGAAAACCTAACTCTAGACAATGCTCATGTTTCTAACAGGCCTCTAGGACTGCACTGGTCAGAGGAGGAATTCTGTACTGTAAGCATTGAAGAAGTGAGTTATTTACCCACGAAAGCTTATGCCCAAATAAATCTGTTAGTCTTTAAGGTGCCATCGGACTCCTTGTTGTTTTTGTACTGTAAGCAAAGGTCTGATTGATGTAACATGATCATGGTACATTGCATGATTGCTAAGAGCTCACCGGAAGTTATAAGACAAATCAAGACTTTTTACATTTTTAAAATTGTCTTTGGTGCATCCAGTGTTGAGAGTGGGGGTCGGGGCTGTTGGGGGCCCCTTTCTAAAAGTGAGATTCATCAGTTTCATTATAACAGAGTCCAGATGCTACCAGAATAGTTGAAAGTTGGGCAGATTTGTCCATTAAAAACTCCAATCTCAGTTATGTATAGGTGGGCAATGGATTTTAAGTGGTTTTATTTCTCCTACATACTGTCCTTGGTTACTACTGACCCAGGCTGTGATTTTTACATCTGTTTTTAGTGCATTAATTATACACCTAATTATTCCAGTGTTTGGCACTTTAGAAATAGGTGTAATAAAAACAAAATAACAAAAACATGAGGACAATGAACACTAGCAGTTAATATTTATTACCACCATCATCTTATATTTTTATCCACAGTTATTTATTATGAACAAGTGGTGGTACAGAAGCAATCTTTTTTTTTTTTAATGAAAGTTTAAAATGTTATTAACCCAGTCCTGCTTGAAATGCCTCTGTTGATTTCAACTGGGATTTTGGGCCCAGATCTGCAGTCAGGATCCATTACTTGGGGCCTGATTCTCAGCTAGACTGTCGTAGCACTGGAGAATTTACACCAGCTGAGAATTTGGTCTTGGCCTCCCGCCCCAAAAATTATTCTAAAACTAAACAGCCTTTTTCTGCAAATCCTTACTTATATAAATAGTCTGTTACTCCCATGAGTATCCTCACTGACATAAACAGGAATACTCACGTGACTAAAGACTAACAACATTTATAAGCATTGCTGCTTTAGCACCTGATCCTACAAACTCTTATGCATATGAATAACTTTTCTGCGAGGCTGCTTACCTGTGTAAAGTTACACTCAGGTTTGGGTGTTTGAAGAATTGGGGTGTTTTGACATACTAATCTGACTTTAATGGGAATTGGATTAGGCCCCATCTGAGTTAGGAGTTAGCCCTAAATTGGACTACTTGCTCTTGCAAGTGAAACAAAGTAAAAAGCCCAACTCAGAGGTATTATCATGCCCATAAAGTAAATAATAACAACACTTATGTGTTCTATGAATTCTCATCAGTCATATGCAAAGCAGCAGTCTGGCCTAGTGGATAGAGCAATAGACAGGAACTCAGGAGACCTGCATTCTATTCCTGTCTCTGCCAAGGTGTGATTTTGGGGGAAATCATTTTGATTCTCTGTGCCTCACTTTCCCCCATCTGTAAAATGGAGATAACAATACTGATCTCCTTTGTAAAACACTTTGAGCTCTATGGATGACAAGATCTAGGTAGTAGTAGTATTATGTTTACAATGGCAGGTAAGCATCATTATGTCCACTTAACAGATGGGAAAATTGAGGCATTGAAAATCAAAATAATGTTCCCAAAAAATCACACCATGGCAAAGACAGGAATAGGATCCAGGTCTCCTGTTTCTCAGCCCTGTCCCTTTATCCATTGGACAAAAGTTAAAATCTTTAGCTGATCATGTGTATTACATTTTGTTTCATAAGATATTTTCCAATGTCATAGTGATGCAATTAAATAACACAATGGCATATTCTGCTGGTGGCTTTTCTGTATTTATAGCGATTACACTTTTTAAAAAAAGAAAAAGATCATCTATGCCACCACCATTCCAAACATGCAAGGACGTTCACAGAAGAACGATGCTACATATAAACAGAAGGATAAGCCTACTACCAATCTGGGTCTTTGCAATTAAGGATTTCACCTCCATAAACTGGCACTGCAGGCTGTCTCTTTAATGTCAGCCAACTGTGCCCGCAGCACTGCTTTGAGGCTTGTACCTTAACTGTGAATTGCCTTGCTTTGTGGGTTTATTATGAGGAAGGTAACAGAAGTATAGGTACCCCTAATGCTGCTCTCATGTGATTGGGGATTGTGATACATGCAGTGCTGTATCTGATAGTATGCTAATCTATGGTAATCCTTATACAGATATTAAATTGAAAATAGGTGCTAAATGTGTTTGCACTAATTAGAAGGGATTGCAGGGCCTACATTCCATGGAGAAAGGAGGATATTGGTAATTAAGTTCTATTGCCTAAATGGCAGAACCTCAGCCTTGATTAATTCATTAGGGAGCCTAGCAGAGGAGATCATAGCTGATCTGTGTAACCCTGACCAGAAGGCATCACTATGGAAAATAGATATGTGTTGTAATGGGTTAATGGAGCAGCCATTCATTTCTGGAGACACTTAGAACAAAAAGAAATGTACTTTGAAGTAATTTTAAAATTAGGGCTGTCAAGCGATTAAAAAAATTAATCGCGATTAATCGCACTGTTAATAGAATACCATTTATTTAAATATTAGTTTTCTACATTTTCAAATATACTGATTTCATTTGCAACACAGAATACAAAGTGTACAGTGCTCACTTTATATTTATTTTTTATTACAAATATTTGCACTGTAAAAAACAAAAGAAATAGTATATTTCAATTCACCTAATACAAGTACTGTAGTGCAATCTCTTTATAATGAAAGTTGAACTTACAAATGTAGAATTATGTACAAACAATATCTGCATTCAAAAATAAAACAATGTAAAACTTTACAACCTACAAGCCCGCTCAGTCCTACTTCAGCTCAGACAAACAAGTTTGGGTACAATTTGCGGGAGATAATGTTGCCCACGTCTTGTTTACAATGTTACCTGAAAGTGACAACGGCTTTCACATGGCACTGTTGTAGCCGGCATCGCAAGATATTTACATGCAAGATGCGCTAAAGATTCATATGTCCCTTCATGCTTCAACCACCATTCCAGAAAACATGCATCCATGCTGATGATGGGTTCTGCTCGATAATGATCCGAAGCAGAGCGGACAGACGCATGTTCATTTTCGTCATCTGAGTCAAATGCCACCAGCAGAAGGTTGATTTTCTTTTTTGGTGGTTCGGGTTCTGTAGTTTCCGCATCGGAATGCTGCTCTTTTAAGACATCTGAAAGCATTTTCCACACCTTGTCCCTCTCAGATTTTGGAAGGCACTTCAGCTTCTTAAACCTTGGGTCGAGTGCTGTATCTATCCTCAGAAATCTCACATGGGTAACTTCTTTGCATTTTGTCAAATCTGCAGTGAAAGTGTTCTTAAAATGAACATGTGCTGGGTTATCATCCGAGACTGCTATAACATGGCAGAATGCAGGTAAAACAGAACAGGAGACACACAAGTCTCCCCCAAGGAGTTCTGTCACAAATTTAATTAACACATTATTTTTTTAACAAGCATCATCAGCATGTCCTCTGGAATGGTGGCCAAAGCATGAAGGGGCATATGAATGTTTAGCCTATCTGGCACCTTGCAACGTCGGCTACAACAATGCCATGCAAACGCCTGTTCTCACTTTCAGGTGACATTGTAAATAAGAAGCAGTCAGCATTATCTCCTGTAAATGTAAACAAACGTGTTTGTCTTAGCAATTAGCTGAACAAGATGTAGGACTGAGTGGACTTGTAGGCTCTAAAGTTTTACATTTTGTTTTGAGTGCAGTCATGTAACAAAAAAAAAATCTACATTTGTAAGTTACACTTTCACGACAGAGAGATTGCACTACAGCACTTGTATGAGGTGAATTGAAAAATACTATTTCTTTTGTTTATCATTTTTACAGGGCAAATCTTTGTAATAAAAATAGTAATATTAAGTGAGCACTGTACACTTTGTATTCTGTGTTGTCATAGAAATCAATCTATTTGAAAGTGTAGAAAAACATGCAAAATATTTAATAAATTTCAGTTGGTATTCTATTGTTTAACAGTGCGATTCATTTTTTTTAATCGCAGTTAATGTTTTGGTTAATGGCGTGAGTTAACGGAGATTAATCGACAGACCTAGTTAAAATGGATGCTGGTTTGAGAGCGGAGCGGTCGTTATGGGCCTGATTCTGCAACCTTTAGGCGGATCCTCAGCTGGTAAAACTGTTATAAGCTCCACTGAAGTCCACTGAGCTGCTGTTACAATTTACCCCAGCTGAGGCTCTGCTCTGTAGAGTAGTGCTTATTCACAGGAGCTGTTCCATTGAACGTAATAGAACTACTTGCATGAATACCTCTGTGAATAAAGGCTGCAGACTCGCATCATATATTTTACCTAAATGCTGCTGCTAATCCATTGTGTACAGCTCTGTGAAGCCTGACTCCCTTTAGCTTGGTGTTTCCAGCTTGTATTTTTTATTAGTATTACCACTATATTGCTCTTCTCTACCGAGGAGCTCATGCTTCCCAAATAGCACAGCTGTGAGCTGGGAATGAGCATAATCTCCATTTTACAAATGGGGAAACTGAGGCGCTGCATTGACATTACTTGCCCACCCATACAGTCTGTCAGTGACAGGAATAGAACCCGTCAGCCCCTTCTCTAATCAAGAGACCATGCACCCTTCCCAGAGCTGGGAGCAGAACCCAGGAGTGTATCTGACTCGCCGACACTGTTCTAACCACTAGGCTACACTTCCGTGTTGAGATGACACTGGTCAGTGGCAGATGTAGACACAGCATATAATGGCGCTAACAGGGGACCCTGACTGAGTGCCAGCAGGCAAGGGGAATGACACGTCTGCTCCCCACTCTACTCCCTGTTGAGGCATCCTTTGCTGGGGCTCTGGGCGGAAGGGGTTCAGTGAAGCTGACAGGATACATAGCAATGTCCCTTGCACAGCTTGGGTGATACTCACTCCTGTGTAGTGGGCCAGCACAAAGCGTGTGCTCTGCTCAAGCCCCCAGAAGCCCTGTTTTGAGGACTGATCTGTCACTGGGTGAATTTCATAATTCCCATGGCTAGCCAAGGGGATTCTAGCACCCGTTCGTGCTGCTTTTGACAGCACAAATTTCTGCAGGGTCCCATCCATGATGAATGCTATATACAGTAGTTGCTTCTGCCAGGGCAGCATGGCTCCTTTAGCTTTTGTTTTAATTATTTATTTTGAGGGGCACAGATTGAAAAATGCACACCTGGACAACACATGATTGTTTTCCTGTTGCAATCCACACTGTAGATGATTGTAAATGAATGGATTTTAAACCTAAAGGGTAACATGGTAAAACAAGCCAGTGACCCATACATTCTTAGGGTGGGGTGTAGGGTGACCAGATATCCTAATATTAGGGGATTTGTAATTTTTATAAGTGCCTTAGGCATCACGGCTACAGGCTGGCTTCTCGAAGGCATGTCGGTCCCCAGCTCACCTCAATACTTTTGAGGATCTGTGTCTTAAATTCCTTTTGAAAGTGGGACTTAGGTTCTAAGTGACTTATCCACTTTTGAACATTCTGCCCAGAATTTCTTTTTCACTGTTTGTGCTGTTTGCTTATTGTGTTTTTCAAAAGCAACAGAGGGTCCTGTGGCACCTTTAAGACTTCTTGCATCTGAAGAAGTGAGGTTCTTACCCACGAAAGCTTATGCTCCCAATACTTCTGTTAGTCTTAAAGGTGCCACAGGACCCTCTGTTGCTTTTTACAGATTCAGACTAACACGGCTACCCCTCTGATACTTGTGTTTTTCAAGTTATTCTTAGGTGGTGGTGGGGACCATGTTGATACAGACTAGTCAGTTTCCCCTTGGGCTACTTCAGTGTCTAGTCAATTCCATTTTCAAGTCCCCCCTGCCGCTGCCCGGGGTGCAAACTGCGGGGAAACATTTTGGTTAAAAACAAAAACCAAACCCACAACTGTTTCCCCAAAGGGAGCATTTTTCAAGGCACAAAAGCTACAGGATGGAGCAGACGAGACCCTTTAAAGGATAAACCTCGCTAGACCTTTTAAAAAAAAATTTCTTTTGTAAATCACGAAGCCATTACACGTTTTATCCCAAAGGCCAAAACTTTACCTCACTCCCTAAGGCTGATTGCAACTCAGTATCGGCTCCTCCTCTTGCTCTGTGGGTGGCTAGGGCTTGCCGAAGTTGCCAGCAGCAGCGACACCAACCTCTTTAGGCCCCTGAAAGCTTCCTATCTCCTGAACATGTGCACCGCTTTGGCTCCCCTGGTCGCTGCCTGCAGAATGCACGGATGAAAATCCCCCCTGGAAGGGGCGCGTGGTTTGGAGAGACAGCCGGGGGCGAGCTGCCCCGCGTCCCGGGGGGGGAAACCTAGGCGAGGGGAGAAAATTCATTGCTGGGTGGCCCCGGGCAGAGGCGGCAGCTGTGCGAGCTAACCCTGCAAGGGGCCTGTGGAAAGGCCGGTTGCCGAAACTGAAATCGGATCCCCCAGTAGCTCCACGCCGGGTCGGGCATGGGTCCTGGGTGGCGCGGGGGTTTGCTCTGACCTCGCAGTTTTCCGTGCAAAGCGGGGCAAGGGGGGGTTTATTTTCAAGCAGAGACCATGAGGAGCAGGTCCGGGTTGCTAACATCCAGAGGGGGGAGATGTAACAGCATCTTCTGCGCGAGCCTGGCCTGAAAGCCGAGCTTGTAAAGGAGAGCCTTTGCAAACCGAGATGAAGTCTCCCAAAACTCGGTACTTGGTTTTCTTTCAGTACTTTGGGACTAAATATAGGTAGGTGCCGTAGTGCTGGTGATCCTCCCGTACTGTGGTGTTGGCAAAACAAGCCCGTGATCTATCCATTCATAGGGTGGGGTGTAGGGTGACCAGATGTCCTAATAGTAGGGGATTTGTTTTATATAGGCAATTATGACCCCTGGGAGATATACCTATCTCCTAGAACTGGACGGGACCCCGAAAGGTCATTGAGTCCAGCCCCCTGTCTTCACTAGCAGGACCAAGTACTGATTTTACCCCAGATCCCTAAATGGGCCCCCCTCAAGGATTGAACTCACAACTCTGGGTTTAGCAGGCCAATGCGCAAACCACTGAGTTATCCCTCCCCCAATTTGTGTCCTAATTTTTCACACTTTCTGTCTGGTCACCATAAAGGGGTGGGAGGCACAGAAATTACACACCAGTCTTGAAGGTAAATAACTCATTGTATTTTTGGTAACTATTAATCACATTATTGAATGCATAGGGAAGGGGAGGAGAGCAGGAATACATCTACTGGGGATTAGAAATTGGAACTAGGACAAATCGTTTGGGGTGGGGGAGATTTTGTCCTGGTTCCCTCCTCCCTCAAAGCCCTACCTGGAGTGATGGGGGACTGAACGATGACACATGTCCCTTGGAGGATAGAAAAAAGAGCCAGATTCTGATCTCAAACTGGTGTAAATGCAAAGTAATTCCATTTGAATCGATGGAGGTATTGCAGGCCGAGGCCCTGATCCAGCGAGCGGTCCCATGGGGGCTGATCCCTGCACCCCGAAGAACAGTTTGTAGATTGCATCTGAAGAAGTGGGGGGGGTTTACCCATGAAAGCTTATGCCCAAATAAATCGGTTAGTTTTTAAGGTGCCAGCGGACTCCTCGTTGTTTTTGTGGGTACAGGCTGACACGGCTACCCCTCTGACGTTTGTAGATTGGGACTTATAGCAGAGTAACTTGGCTTCAGAGTTTTTGCGGGTGTAGCGTCGTTGGGTAGGAGTGTGAAAATAAGAGCTGTGCCAGCAAAAGCTCCAGTGTAGGTGCAGTTTTGGCTAATTTTTGTTTGGGGAACTGGTATATACTATAAACAAACTCTGTTGCCCGTATTGGCTACAGGCAAATCCTTTCTAGTGTAGACAAGGCCTCAATGTCTATAACTTTCCGCCTGTCGTTTCTACTTTGTCTCTAATGTGAGAATCAAAATCACTCCCATGCAGGTCAGCGACTGTTGGAATGAGTAGAGTTATTTATTGCAGCGCTCGGTTTTTGCAGTTCTGCACAAGAACTTCAGATCAGAAACTTCCCTGCCTCGAGAAGTTTCTGATCTGAAGCTCCAGTCCCGCAAATGCGCATGTTTGCACGGATGACGTTACAGTCAGTCGCACTGCTCGCTCGCCATAGCGTCAGCGGGGTTGGGACGTTATCCTGAAAGCCTTTACCTTGTGCAAATTGTCCCCAGGACTTCAGTGGGGTTGTCATTATCGTTAATGTTGACTGATGTGCAATTGCTCCAGCTATATGCTAGGGGCCTTCCAGACACTTAGAAAGGGTGGCCTGTGACCCTGGCTCATGAAGGTCAGAGCAGGAGAACGGTTTCAGTGGTAGCCGTGTTAGTATGTATCAGCAAAAAGAATGAGGAGTCCTTGTGGCACCTTAGAGACTAACACATTTATTTGGGTATAAGCTTCCGTGGGTTCTAGCCCACGAAAGTTTATGCCCAAATAAATGTGTTAGTCTCTAAGGTGCCACAAGGACTCCTCATTCTTTTTAGAGCAGGAGAAGGATCTCAAGGAACTTTTATGAGGGCAATTTAGGAGAAACATAAGCAGTAAGAGGGGAAAGTAGCTGAGAATGGAGTTATGTAGCGGCTTAAAGGTGAGGACGGGTAGCTTGAACTTGATATGGAAGGCTAGAGAGAAAATCGGGGATGTACTTCGGAGAGGGGAGTGATGTGATCAGAACATTGTGGGAGGAAGGAAGGTGACTTTTGGCAGTATTTTGCCTGGATGGGATGGGGGAGCAAGGGAGAAAAGCAGGAAGACCAAAGAGGAGGAAATCTCAGTAGCTAAGGAGAGATCCTTGGTGTGGCAGTTCCTATGTAGGTGGGGGGATGGAGGCCTGGCTAGGGAACGAGGAGAAAAGGATGGATTGTGATTTCTGCAGTCACAAACCTTTTTGCAAAGTAAAATAAATAAATAAAAGTGTTTAAAAATGCCAAGTGCTGTATGTGACCGTTTCCCTTCATCCTTGAATGATGCAGAGAGAACCAAGGCAGATAAACTTGTCTTTAGATGCAGTAAAAGGGCCATTTAATTTTTGCGGGGAGAGTTTGAACGTTGGATATGCCACGTAATCCATTTTGACAGCTGAGATTGCATTATTTTGCTTTTCTTTTTTTCCACTTGAGTGAGTCTCTTTAACTCTCGGCGAGACATTCTATTAGGCAGACAATGTAAGCAGAATAGAGAAGGAATAACTGAAATAAGATATGCAAATGTCATCTGTTGTTGAAACCATAGTCATAGATTTGTGTCTGCATCTGCTGCTTAAATATTATTCTTTGCCTATAATCAGATTAGGCCATTATTATTAATAGGACAATTACTATAGCTGGAAAGCCGCAAACTCCATGCTATGTGAATTGTTAAGAAGTCTTTGTAAAACTTTGATTCCTATTTGTGTGGCCTCAATACAGTACAACACTTACCAGCCCTTGAAGTCAGTGGAACATAAGCATGTGCTTAAGGTTATGCATGTGCTTAATTGCTTTGCTAAATGAGAGCCTGACTAAATTAGCAGCGTGTAGTGGTAGGAAAACGTGTATATATAATTTTACTTCAGTGTACAGTATTGGTGCCTGATCTAAAGTCCATGGCAAATCTATCTACATTACTTGTCAGGACCCCATAACTGTAGTATAAGTGTCATGGAGCACTTGACAGTATTGAATGCATTTGTCCTCTCAACATCTCTGTGAGGTAGGGAAATATTTTTATACCCAGTTTACAGAGGGAAAAGTGAGGCACAGAGAGGCCAAGGGTCAACATTTTTAAGGGTATTTAGGTGCCTAAAGATGCAGGTAGGTACCTAATGGGATTTTCAAAAGCGTCTTTAGGCATCTAAATACGTTCAAAAATCTCTCCCTCGGGGTATGTCTGTGCAGCCCGCGGCAGCCAGCCCCGAGCCTGGGTCGACAGACTCGGGCTTACGCTACTACGCTAAAAATGGTGCTGTGGCTCGGGCTGGAGCTCAGGTTATGAAGCCCCCCCGCTTCAGAGCCCGAGCTCCAGCTGCAATGTCCACACAGCAGTTTGTAGCACAAATAGTGCAAGCCCACGTCTGTCGACCCTGGCTCGGTGCCATGGGCTGTGTAGGCGTACCCTTAACGACGCCCAAGGTCACACAGGAAGTCTGTGGCAGAGGACAGACTTGATCCCGAGTCCTAGCCCAGTGCTTTAACTATTGAACCATCCTTCCTCTTGTATTGGGTTTTGGGTCAGGCCCATGCAGCGGAGGGGTGAGCCATGCCAGTGAATGCTATCAGCTCCTCGAATTCCCCCGAATCTTGAAATGGTTAATAACAAGGAGAGCCTGATCCGAACAAGCAAACCCCATTCTTTACAGGGGGACAGCACCCTTTATTCCTGGCTTCCCCCCCTGCAGCCTGCCAGCTGGCTCGTACTGCTTTCTGCTCGCACGCACAGAAGTGGAAGGTAGCATTTAATCCTTAGATCAGTTGTATATAAAGAATTCCCTGGATCTCAATCACAATCAGTCACTTGACAAAAAAGCTGACGATCCTTATTTTGCTGTCGCCCAGGTGCCCAGCCTATGTGTGATGTTCGGCCATTGGCTGAAGGTTGGAATTCACTGACAATTGCTAATAACTGTTGTCCTTCTTTTGCTCTGCAGTGGTGTCATGGAGACATTGACTGATCAGTCTGTGCTCGGTGTCCAGAATTACTTGGAGGTAGGTACTTGGGGTGGCACTGACACAAACCGAAAAGCTAAGGTTGCATTGTGGAACCACAGAGATTATAAGGGGGAATACTTGTTCTTGTACTGACCACTTATAATAATAATAATAATAATAATACCTAGCTCCTCGTACAGCACTTTTAGTCTGTAGCTCTCAAAGCTCTTTACAAAAGAGTTCAATATTATTATCCCCATTTTAAAGATGGGAAAACTGAAGCACAGGGGATGAAGTGACTTGCACAAGATTACCCAGCAGTTCAGTGGCATTGTTGTTAAGGATTTGATCCAGGACAAGTTTTTCATGCCTTTTCTTTGTTTTTTGAGGGGATGTGGGGGCCAGTCCTGCAAGCCGCTCTGCATGGGCAGGCACTTGTCTATATGCAGAGTTGTGCTGGTTTACCTTGAGATTTGATTTTAAACCGGTTTGGTTAAACTGGTGTTCATGTAGCGCCGGATTAGCTAAACTAGTTTAACTAAATAGGTGAAAGTTTATGTGTAGACAAAACCTGGCTTACTATAGGACCCTGTGGCAGTCATCCAGCTTTTTCTGTGCCCAGTTTTCCCCACCTATAAAAGAGGTATTAAAATACTTTCCTCCCAGGGGCATGAGAGTTTTACTGGAAGGATGTTTGTAAAACCTCCTCAGATCCTTGTATGGATGCAAAGCATTGTTATTTCCAAAGCCTGCAAATACATTTGTTAAACTGGCGTCACATTCCAAAGCCATGTATTTAATAGCTGTTTGCTATTAACAAAAACTCAGTTATTCCTATGGTATATTAAAATTAATGATTTGTGCTTAATTTTAATGTAAACACTCATAAGACTGGTGTACTCAGCCTGTTGTCCCAGAGATGCAATCATGAATGACTGGTTTAATCTTAATGTATGTTCCTCGTGGTCATTATTGTCTCAAAGGGGGCAGCACTTTCACTCAGCCATTACTTTTCCGTAATCTCTGTTGGGAACTGTACCGAGGGAACATCTGGTTCCTAGATCACTTGTCTAATGTGCAGGAATTTTGTCTGATGTAGAGGAGTTCTGCTAATCATGCTTATGTTGTTTAAGTGCATTCCTCTCCAGAGGGTCGTATGACTGTCCTATCTAAGCAAAGCCATCAGAAATGTTTAATTAGTGCTGGATTCTTACCCTCTGTCCTCTCACTAATTGACAGGCAGTGACAATCTCTCCGTTTCTACACAAGCAAAACCAAATAGTTTCAAATTAGAGAGACTTGATACTGAGTTGGAGTCTTCCTGGTAGAGCAATTAAAAGCGATCCCGTGTGTCTGCCTGTGTACTTACATAGCTCCCCTCACTGTACCTCGCAAATGTTAATTAATTTATCCCCACAAAACACCTGTGCCGAAGTGTTGTTTTCCCCATTTTACAGATGGGAAGCTCAGGCCAAGAGAAATTAAGGAACAAATCCTCAAAGGTATTTAAGTACCTAACCTTCATGGATTTCAATGGGAGTTAGGTTCCTAAACACCTGATAATCAGGGTTTCTGAGACCTGCCCATGGTCACACAAGGAGTCTGTTGCAGAGCATAGGACTGAATTTAGGGTCCCTGAGTCTCAATACAGGGCCTTAACAATAAGACATTCTTCTTCTCTGCCTGTCCAAACTTAAACCAAAAGCTGGCTTGTAAGAAGAACTTTTCATGAAACCGAAGACCAGTAGAAATGGTTCTGAAAATTCCAGTGGAAACAGTTTTTGTTTTTTAAGCTAAACATTCCCCTGCAGAACTGCAATCCAAACATCACAGCATTGTGTTAGTGTGTGACACCCAAAGGTGAAACTGACTAGTAACTGTAAATAAAAGTGAGACAAGGCGGGAGAGGTAATATCTCTTTCTGGTACAACTTCTATGGGTGAAAGAGAGAAGCTTACGTAGAGTTCTTTGCTCTGTAAACGCAAAAGCTTATCTCTCGCATCAACAGATGTTAGTCCAATAAAAGATTTACCTCACGCACCTGGTCTCTCTAATATCCTGGGATTAGCACAGCTACAGCAACGCTGCATGTAAACAAGAGTGAAATTGGCTAGTTCATTTTCATTGTCAAGATGACAAGAAATGCAAAAACTGAAGAAGGAAATTTGCCATTAAAAGTTCTCTCCAGTTTTAATGCTCTCAGATATAACTATGAGCACATATAAAGAAACCTTGTGGGGTTTTTAAATGATTTCTAACCTGAAAGTATCCCTTTAATACACTGGATATGGGTTTGATCCTACAAACACTGTGAGTAGCGTCTGAGTTGTTCCATTAACTTCCAGGAGACTTCCCATGGTGGTCAGGACTTCTCTATGTATCAATTGTTAACAGGATTGAGCCCTAACTGTGCAGTAGCAGTGAAAAAAGACCTGTTCCTATGTCAGCCAGTAGAAAGTGGGTCACTAGTACAGGTTACAGAATTAATGCTCTGCACATCTAGGCATTTTTGTAATGTAATGCTAAGTTAATTACAATTCTGTATTGAGTGGCACATCTCTGAACACTGCCAGTGATTCCCCTGTCCCCACGAGTGGCTGTAATTAAAAGGAGACTCTGCTGTCTTAATTTACTTCTTGCAGTCGGGGTAAGTTATAAGCTAAAGTGAAACACATGCCTGTTTGTGTAAGAGATGAGATTTGAGCTGTCAGAGAGGTTACAATCCAGGCACCTTGTGCTGCAGCTGACTGGGTTTGCTATCCAGAATGAGACACTCACACCGCTGTTTCTAGTCACTTCTGAAGCAACAGAAATGATGTACGGCTCTCATAAGCTTTACTTCTGGAAAGATTATCCTCTGGCATGTTTCTGGGCTGGGTTTAGGCTTGCCAGAAGCAGAGATTAAACCATATGTTTTATTCTAGCCAATCTAGGTTCTATATGATGGCTTCCCTCCCCATAGTATCTGAGCGTAGTATTCTTAGAGCAGCACATTTTCTTATCACCTATGGGTTTTAAGGACAGTGTGCATGTCTCTGGCATAGTCTTAGTTCTTGCTCTGCTTTTCCTCTTTGGAGGAGTGTGTATGTTTGGGAGGGGTGTGCAGGATGGAGCTGTGTGCGGTTCAATAGGTGGTGTGAACCCTTAGCACCGAATCAGTGCCCCAACATGGTGTCAGGTGGCGATACACTTTTGGAGGTGCTGTCCTTTTAAGATGAGATGGTAAACGTTTATGGTCGCTGAAAAGAATGACTTGTGGCCATTAAAGATCACTCTTCACATTTTGCATGGGTAGAATTGTAGACCTTGATGTCCTGGTTAAATTTGAGGTAGGTTAAGTAATGCCTACCTAAAAAAAAAACATTACTCTTGCTGCTTCAGCTAACAAGCAGTATTCTTTGCTTTCTGGCCGAACTGTTGTATTGTCTTTCTATGTGCTCTTAAACAGCTGCCATTTTTCAGAGCTGTCAGAGACACTTGCATATCAGTGATGGGTCAGATTACTCCTGGGGGAATGATGCGCCATTACGCATGCGCAGAATTTATGTTCCCCGCAGATTTCTTTGTATCTCCCCCCCCCCCCCAAAATGACTTTCTGATAGGAAAGCAAAGGGAAGCCACAAGAGTGATCATGCGACCCTCCCCAGCAGTATGTTTCGGGTGCCCACGGCAGCCGGCAGAGAGGTAAATCGCTAGAGGGCAGGGGGTGAGACTGGGGAAGACCCGGCTGGTGGCTCCTACCCTGCACCGGGCTCAGTTGCTAGTCCTGGCTGGGCTGGGGAGGACAGGACTACCTCTTCCCTTGAACGGTATACAGGGCCGGGTCAGACCCACACCCAGATTTTTCACCCAGCTGAAGGAAGCTCTGCAAACTCCCCCGGCCCCCCACTTCCTGCACCCATCGCTCCTCGGCTGCAGGGGGAGGGATCTCTGTACAGGGAGCTTCTCCCCCAACCGCCGTGCATCCAGACCCCCCTCATACCCAGACCCTCCCACTGAGCCTCACACCTGCTGTACCCAGAACTCCACTGAGGAGCCCCACTCCCCCTGCACTTGGACCACCCCGATGAGCCACCCGGATCCCCACCCCACCGAGCCCCAACCAGCTGCACCTGGATCGCCACTCCACTCCCCCAGCATCTGGACCTCCCCACACCCAGACACCCGGCCTTCTGGCTGGCTGCCCCAGAGAGTCATGGATGTGTAGGACTGAGCCAGATGCCTGGTGTGATGCCTGGTGTGATGCCATCACTCGCGGTCACTCTGACTGACTGGTGCAATGGTCCTTAGAAGACTCTGCGCCTGTGTATTTGCCATGCTTGTTTTTGATGGCCTGTGTTGGCATTCATTCGGCACTCACTGCTGTGGTAGCTGAGGGCTGTCTGTAATTCTGGTGGTGGGAGTTAGCGCTGTCCGACAGCTGGGGCACTGGTCTGGGAATTGGGAGATTCGGGTTTTACGCTCCGCTTTGCCACCCACCTGCTGCATGACCTTAAGCAAGTCACCTAATCTTAGCGCCTTGGGTTACCCATTTGCAAACTGAGGATAATAATTCTCACATCCGTTGGCCGAGAGCTCTGAGATCTATGGAGGGAAAGTGCTGCCTAGGGGCTAAGAATCATAACTCTAATTGGAGATCTCTGCAACATTTATTCGTATTGCTCATTGATTTATAAAGCACCCACCCATCTCCAGAGATGTATCTGGAATGCTGCGTGAATGTTCCACAGAGCTGGAAAGACAGAGAGTCCAAAAGGCCGTGTATCCCATTTACCCTGTCCTCTGCGTAGCATAGCACTGCTTTCCCTCCCTGTCCCATGTTTGGGGCTTTGGATGAGCTCAGCAGTTGTTTTGCAACATTTGAGTGAGCAACTTTTTGTTTTAACAAGCGAATGAGTAGAATGGGCAATTTAAAAAAAAAAAAAAAAAAAAAAAAAGAGTGGGGGGTGGGTGGGGTGGGGAGAAAAAGTTAGATCAACATATTTGGTATTGTCATTTCATGGCATCGGCATTTTGATCTCCTCAGCTGCACGCTGGCCAATTCATGGATATGCTCT